ATCGTGAGCTAAATCCCTAAAAAGTCAATGCCATTATATCAGTGCAATAGGGAATAGGGAGTCCAGCTCTTGTATTTAGGAATGAGCCAAGACTTCTTTTTGTTCTGCTCTAAGGGCTTTGTTCTTACTGGCTTAAGTTAGTTAAAAATGCTCTGTGATATTGTAATCATGATTGTGTACTGTAAACAAAGCTAAACACAGATCCGTTAGTTTCTCAATGTGTTCAATGACTGGAGTCCCCAAAGTGTGCCCAAAAAAAAGAAAAAAAAAAAGAAAAAAAGAAAACCTCTTCTGGCACCCCCTTCCCCCAGAAACAAACAAACAAACAAAAAAACACAACAACTTTGGATTCACAAGTGTGGATGTATAAATAGCTTTTGTCTCTGAGGCTCTATCTGATGGACTGTTATGTAGTTGTTGAACTGAGGAAGACGCTGAGAGAGTTAGATACTGCACAAAATCATTTAAAATAATTCTGTATACATCTCTATCTCTTTTCTTTCTCTTCCTTCCTATTCTTCACTCCCATTCCTGCAGTGATCTGACTCTATGGCTAATTCGATAGCCATGTGCTTATTGATCAGCAACTCGGGGGAATTGCTTGGAAAAAAAGTAAGAGGGAACTTCCTATTGTGTTTGTGTGGTTCCTTCCATTGACCTGTGAATGAATGCCTCATGAAACTAAGTTAAGTTACAAGAGCTTTCTATTTCAGCACTATGATAAGTTGGTAAGTATGACTGAGAAAAGGGCTTGTTTGGAGTGTCCTAAACATCTGACTCAAAGGCATGGCTGCCTATGCAGGCTCTTCTGAATGTGCAGATCAGCTGTCATTATTGCTGACTTTTTCTAAAAGTCCTTATTTATGAAACTCCTTTCTGGTCATTGATCAATCCCTTTCTGGTTTTGCAAGTCATGTATTTTGTAGAAACTGAATACATTGGAGTATTTTGTAAGGTAATACAGTACTATAAAAATACTTCAATAATAAGAGTATTGTTGCATGAGATCTATAAATACTGGCTACTAGTAAAACTGATAATTCAGAGGATTATGATTATCACTGATAAAATTTTAATGAGTTACATTGGACATCTGGAGGGCTGGAATAGTCTCCAGTGCTTTGTTCAGTGTTGGGTTACTTGATCTCTGTAGAATCACAGAATGGTTGAGGTTGAAAGGGACCTTTGGAGATCACCTAGTCCATCCCCCCTGCTCCAGCAGGGACACCTGCAGCATGTGGCACAGGGTGACATCCAGGTGGGTTTTGAAGATCTCCAGAGAAGGAGACTCCACAACCTCTCTGGGTAGCCTGTTTCAGGGCTCTGTCACCTTCACAGTAAAGAAGTTTTTCCTCACATGGAGATGGAACTTCCTGTGTTTCAACTTGTACCCATTACCTCTTGTGCTGTCAGTGACCACCACCAAGAAGAGTTTGGCCCCATCCTCTTTACATTCTCCCCTCAGGTATTTGTACGTGTTGATAAGATCTTCTCTCAATCTTCTCCAGGCTGAACAGGCCCAGCTCACTTAGTCTTTCCTCATGCGATAGATGCTGCAGTCCCTTAATCATCTTCGTGGCTCTCCGTTGGACCCTCTCTAGAAGCTCAATGTCCTCCTTGTCCTGGGGAGCCCAGACCTGCATACAATACTCCAGATGCGGCCTCACCAGAGCTGAGTAAAGGGGCAGGATCACCTCCCTCAACCTGCTGGCAACGCTCCTCCTGATGCAGCCTGGGGTCCTATTGGCTTTCTTGCCACAAGGGCACATTGCTGGCTCATGGATCTCTGTCTTTGGCATATAACATAGTTATGCATTGCTCAGCTCACATTAGTGGGTAGCCTAGTGATATATTTCTAAATGGATGAAAGTTGCTTGCATTACAGATTGGCATAAGAAGCCAATTGCATTGATTCATATGCACTGAATATTTGGCCAAGTCTCTGAATTATCATAGTTTGGATTGAATGGGAAGACCTCTTTTGAGATTGACCTTCAGAAAAAGGATATGAAGAACAAAGTAGGCAACACATATTGCATACTGACTCAAAGTTGGCATGGTATGTAGATATAGAAGGTTATGTAACGTTAAAACAAGTGACTATGATACAAGCCTGTGGATTTTATTTCAGATGATACAGGCCTCTGGATTTTATTTCAGATTCTTACTAACTATCTGGGTAATTACTCATCTCTCTGAGTCTTCTGCCCATCTGGTAACTTACCTAGCTGCCAAAATTGTTGTAAGGCTTTAATTGAAGGTGAATTGCAAAGCAAAACACTCAGTGGGTGCCCTTTGATGTTCTGCAGTGATGTGCAGTCATGCCTATGGTGTCTTCTCCCCTCACTTCAGCTCTACAGCTTCCTTCCATCAAGAATTTCAATCTTAGAAGAGTAGAGACTCTTTAGCAAACTCCACGCGAGGTGCCTGGTAGTGAAAGAAAGCACAGCTACCACCGCCAAGTTAAAAACTTGTAACGGTGCAAGATCTTAGACTTCTTAGACTGAAGAACAGTTGAGGAGTGCTTTATCAATGTTGGGAGAAGAAGATTTTAATGTGCAGGAGGAACAAAATAACTTGGAAATGAGAAGAGGAATGTTTCAGGTTTTTGATAAACATGATGCAGAAAACAAACCTTCCTTTTTGTGTCATATCTCCTTCAAAACATGTGAAAGACTGGTGACTTGTCTGTCTAGTAAGCTGATGCTGGGAAATCTGGGAGGGTTGAGCAAGGATTCCTGGAAAACCAAAAGGAAGGAGAGAGCCAGTTTATCTGGGGAGGGTGGTGAGCACTTAGCAAGAGGGAAGTCTGGGTTCACTGATTTCCATCTTAGGAAGATTTCCATCTTAGCAAGAGCCGAGTGATGCTGGTGGTGCTGCTGGATACTAATTTAGTCTGTAGGGTGGAAGTAGCATGGGCTCCTTGGACTTGTCTATGTACGTCATTTACTGGTGTTTTGGGGTGTGTGTGGATAATCTTATTTTGGACTGAGAATGCTCTATGTTGGTTTAGCTCAATCAGACTTGGAATTTTTCAAGAGCTTTGGCTGAGTTATAGTGGAAGATACACAGACTTGTGCAAGATAATTGCAGTTATGAATTAAAGATACCTTAATTTGATTTGCTTGTTCATGCGGGTATGCCGTTTGTAGGCCCGATACAGAACTCAGTTTTCAGAGACTTCTGTAATCAATATTTATTTAAAAAAGAAAGCCTGACAAAATACAGGTTCCTTTGTGGTATGGAGCCAAGCCTATTTTTGATGTCAGTTTTCCTGAGGATAAAGTAATTTATAATTAATAAGGTAAAGGGTTTTTAAGGAGAAGTAAAACACGAGGACTGAGTCAGCTGGTGCGAGCTGTGCTGTGGAGGCTGTTAAGTCAAGTAGAAATACGTCTTAGTAAATGCCAAGCCTAAGATCTGCAGTGAAGTCGTGCACAGCTTTTATCAAGCCGAGAGGCTATCATTGACTCTTGTTGCTGGGACTAATGTGACCCTGATATAAATTTGTAGGAAAAGGCTAGAAAGATTGATGGGGATGTGTTCTGTGTAGCTTTTTTGGAGAGGAATGCCTTCTGTGTCTCTGTGCATAGAACTTTCGTCTTTCTGTGTGTCACAACTCTGTCCAATGTTAAAATACCTTGTTATGATGTATTTGGATAGTGAACTTTAATACTGAAAAAAAGAGTGCAAACTGAAAAAGAACATACCCTCTTTCCCCCCTCAGATTTTTCTTTTCAGCAAGAGATCATCATATGCTCCTCTTCCAAAATGAAACTAATTTCCAAAATGAAAATCCAAGCACTGATATGTTTTTTTTTGTTTTGCATTTCAGATCGTTTCAAGAAAGAATCCAGAGGATGTCCAGGAGGTAACAGTTTAAATTTGTGCAAATATGTTTGTGTACTGCATTGTGGCTTTTAAAGCATCTTTGATGTAATTTAGCTTTTCTTGTGCGTGTGTTTAGTCACTGTAACTGAGCAGACAGGTTTTTGTGTGTTTCCATCTGTCTTTTGCTTTCTGTTCAAAAACAAAATAGCTAGCATAATGTATTGCAATTCTGCCGTCAGCAGTGAATCATGACTTGAAACAAAGTCTTAGGGAGTAAAGTGTCTTTTGATGACAAAACTGCTTTGATAACTTTGGAAGCTTTTTTTCTCAAGGCTGAAATTGGCAAATTGCTGGTTACTTAACTCCTACTGGCAAAATTATAGATCAGTCCACAATCCAAGTCTTATGTCTCAGCTGTAGGTATTCTTTCCCTCTTTAACCAATACTTCACTGAAAAACCTACATCATTATTGCCTATTAGTGAACAAGAAAAGTGGAGGAGTGTGGGAGTAGTTGAGAGAGATTAGACTGCAATTCATATGTTATGCCTCTCTCTCAGGCTCCTTGAGTATCTTTCTGTGATATACTTTGATAAAACTTAATTGCTTGCTTTTTGCCTCCTCTGCAAAATGTGAATGAGGAGTGAGTGTATTTCTGTGGCTCTTTAATATCTCAAAAGAGCGTCAAGAGCCTTTTTATTGGGACAAAAAATTACATCACACTTTTGCTTCAGAATTAAAAAAGCTGAAAGACCAATGACTTGACATGTTGATACTATTATACTGTATACATGCAAAATCTTCCTTCCAAAGCGCAACCTTGTAGCTTTTCAGACATTGACAATTATATGGATATGTTGAATTTCTAGTGCAGTTTCTTATCACAGTTGAGGAAAATCTGGAAAGCTGATGAAGGAAGAGCCCCTTGCAGAGGTGAGAGTTGACTAATATTCCTTTGTTGCATCCTCCTTTGAAGCCTTGAGAATCAAACAAACATGAGCTTTCATGTTCTTTTGGTTCTTTTTCATCTCTGGAAGGTTAAAATAGCCTATCACTGTCCGAGAAATGATCAGGGGTCTGTTTTTCAAACTGCGTTATTGTAGTTTGCAGCTTGATGTTCACCTTTTCCAGGGACACTCCTGAATTGAACCTATCCATGAACAAACTCTACCATTACCTTAATCTTCATTTGTGGGGGAAAAAAACCCTTTATTACATCTGTTGATGAGCCATTCATCAGAAAAAAAAATATTGTAAGTGTCTTTCAGCTAGAATATTGCATGAATAAATGATAAATAGTTTTGAAAAAAAAAATCCCCACCCCTTATTGCTATGATCTTGATTTTGAGCTGTGGATACAGGTTAAACATGCAAGATTTTGCATTCTTCAGTCAGCAAGCAGACATAATTATGTTGTGAACTTGATGCTTAATGTTTTCTCACCCTTCACTGTAGCCTGTGAAGGATTTTGTGTGAGATAGCCTGCTAAGTGTGGTGTGCTTCTGTTATGAGCAAACCCCTGAAGTTCATAGTTAAAAGAAGTATAATCCTAGATGGTAGTTGCTGTGCAGGTGAATTGCAATTGCAAAACAGCTTGTATTCAGTACAGCTGTAAATGAGGCTGCGTGCTATGCCCTCACTGTACTTGCTAACTTTGTCACTTTATTAACTACCCATTAGAATATAATCCTATAAAATGAATCCTCCCTGTTGCACCAAATGGCAATCTAACATACCCTGAAGGGGTACTGTGAGACAGGAAGCAAGATAACCTTGTAAGTGTTTTCTTCTCAAGAAGTTGCAAGTGGTTTATCATCAAGATTAGATGGAGAAGTTTTAGATATAGAATGGCTAGTCACTTTCATTTTAATTCCCTTGCTTTTGGGGTGGATGGTGACAGCAGGGCTTGTGTAACCGCTGTACCTAATTTGCAGTAAAGGTTGTCTTGTAAGTAGTTTTTTTTCTGTATGGATCCATGGAAGAGAAATGGTTGTTCATCGTGCAGTGGAGGGGTCAATGCATTAATAGATATCTCCTAGTTCTAGCCACGACAAGCAGCCTGTTGTGTTATGAATCTAACGTATGTTTTGTGATACGCTTGCTGCGTATCAAGATTGGCTGGCATCAAAGTACAGCATGTCCTCCCTCCAAGTCTGATTTTTAATGAGATCCCACCAGAGCGGGAACTTGGCCAACGTTGCTGAGCCATGTGCGTGCAAGGCATGATTTTCATAAGCTTGTGAGAAAGTTATACGATGCATTTGATTCATTTGCTTTGCAAGCTGTTTATGGGTATTTGTTTTCTCCCCTTGGCAGTTGGTAAGTCACTTGCAGCAGCAGAAATAATACTTATTTAGTGAAATAGTATATTATGCTTTTATTGTTTTGGCAGCTTTTCACATTATCTGCCAGTGCTAACAGTGCAGTAAGTTGATGGTTTGAAACTTTGCAATCTTGAGCAATCTTGTTTTGCATATGCATTGCTCAAGAATTGCTAATCATCACCCCTCTGCAAATTGATTAGGTAGGAGTGCAGCATTGAAAAATCATCAGTTATTTCTGATAACAAAATCACTACCTGCCTTTTTGAGAGATTTCAGTTTCTGTTGCCTTGTCTGTTGAACTCTATGGGGTACTAGTTGCAACTGAGTCCTTGGTGAGATGGAACTGAATCAGCTAGTTTCAGCATGGCTACATTTATAAGATGGATAGAGCTTTGCCCAATTTTTTAAACCCTAAAACAAACTTACTGGTACTGAAGTGCCAATTTAGTTGCTCAATTCTCTCCCAGGCTTGATTTTCCTGATGGATTCTTCTTTTTTCTTGAGTTTTAAAATACAAAGAATGAGATGGAAGGAAGGTAAAACTGATGCCTGGCTGAGAGATGATCAGGAGAGATAAGGAAAATTTTTGTGTCTCAAGTGGTGTAATCAACTAATGATCTCCTTACATTCAAGTTGAAGATTTTTGTCTACATTACAGAATGAATGTATTTAATTTTTGTCAATGTTATTAGTCCTCAACCATTTTGAATCATACTTGTACTTGCACATGATTAACATTTTTCATAAACACATAGGCTAAATTATTGTTCTGTGTTTTTTATAGTGCTCTGTCCATAAGCATCTTTTAATTGTGTTGATTTCTTTACCGTTGTTTTGTATTTTTCTGTCTTTCTCCCTCCTCCCTCCATACCTGCAGCTGTGCTGAGCATAGCTTGTAACTGAGTGTTGAATGGTGAAACACTTATCTTGCTTTTTTTCTCTTTCGTTCTGATTCCCTATATAGCTCTGGATGGCAGTGTGGCTGATGTCTGAAATTATATTGCTTTTGATCTCTGCATTTCTTTCAGCTTTTATGCAATGTTTTCTATACACTGTAGTTTTGTTAGGCAAAATGGAGTTTCTGGACATACTATGAACCTGTATTACTGTCTGTGATTGTTACACTTGGCAGTTCAGATTATATGTTCAAGTGTTAAAAATATTTGGTGAGGGTAGTAATCTGATTTGCTTAGAAAAGTGTGTTTTTGGTCTCTCTTAAATATGAGCAATGAACCTCACTAATATATATTTTTTCACCTTTCTCTGCTTCAGATAGTTGTTTGGAAGAGATACAGTGACTTTAAGAAACTGCACAAGGATCTCTGGCAAATTCATAAAAATCTATGCAGGCATACGGAACTCTTTTTTTTCTTTCCCCCTTTTGCCAAAGTAATATTATTTGGTAAGCATAGTTTCTTCCTGAATTGCTGATGTTCTTTGCTAACTCCAATACCTATAAGTAAAGTACATCTTGTTTTGCAGCTGTGTGCAATTCTTCTCTGTGTTTTTAGTACTCAACCTTTTATTTTGTCCTAAATGTCTCTACTATAGATGTGCTGATGTCATAGCTTGATGATAAAATTTTGACAGGACTGGTTATGTTCTGCTGCTGCTTTCATTTTAGACTTATTAGTGCAAGATATTTATTGATGTATATATGTTCTATGTCATCTCTACAGTGCTACACTTACAAAAGTAGTTGTAGACTAAGGTTTCACCTTGCCCTTCTAGTTGAATAAGCCCCTCTTTTTTTCTCCTGGTTTAAAACAAAAAAAAATCAGGCTGTTTTGCTTAGTTGTTCTGCTTTTAGTCTGCTGACATTCACCATTGTCACCGTTCAAAGTGGTGACAATCCACACTGTGCTACACCTTGTTGTCAAATAGCTATGGAGAAGATGTTTACTCAATGGTGGTTCAAGCTGTATCTGCTTCATGTGCATCCACATGCCTTGGAACACACTCTGGTGCCACCTAACAAACTAGAGAACTAATAGCAAAATGTCAGTAATAATAAAAGTGTGTTGCCCCAGCCTTATCGAGGAATTTATTAAGATCATCTGGGCATTTCACCTGAAAAGTGGTGGCATGCCGTGAGTGGAAATCTCCACACCAGTCCTCTGCCTCTTTTTCTGCCTTTTTAAATTTTATTTTATTTTTTAAAACTTTTTATTTGGGGAATGGAGGGGAGTGGAGGAGGAGAGGGAGGGGTTTCTTCCTTCCCCACCTAGTCACCTTGTGTATCCATCTATTAGAAACCACATAATCCTGAGCTCAAAGTGTAGCAGCGCTTCTTGGATCTCATTCCCACCGAGTAGGTTGGATACAGATGCGAGCTGGGATGAGCAGGGAGTCATGTGCACTGGCAGGACACACACCTATCTCGTGGGAAGCTGCTGTTTCTTTTTCTAGCAGAGCTGCACTGAAAAGTGTTGCTAAGTGATGCACAAGGTACTGGCTGTAATAAAGCATGTCTTTCTCCTCCGCTTCCTCGTGCGTTTGGCCGTTACGTTGGAATAAACGGACGTTCCGCGGTTAGGCCGCCTCCTCCCGCGGCTCCGCGCGCCCGCCGGGCCCCGCTGCCGGGCAGCCCGGCTTTGCCTGGGGGAGCTTCTCCAGGGAAGCCGCCAAACGGACGCCCTGGCAGGCACGGCCTCAGCCTGGAAAGCACAAGCCTTTCCCCTCCTGGATGTGTCCTGACCGGTTACTGCCTTACTTTTGCTGCTTAAGGGTATTACATTTAATTCTAAGGACTGACTACGGCATTTAGCAGCAGGAGATGTTTTAAAGTATATACTAACACAAACAACGCTGTAGTTAGCTTGTAACCCAACTCCCAGGTGAGCTTTGGGGCAATTTCTGACTTAGTTGTTTCGCGTAAGAACAGGCTAAGTGAGAGGCAGAGAGGCAGAGCTTTGAGATTCATCCCATGGCTCTTATGGAGAGCTGTCTTTTATGCTAGGTTAAAGGGTATCCAACTTTTATGTCTCTTTATTTTTACTTATTGGTAAAGTTAAAGTGGAGCAAGCTTCAGTGCTGTATCAGAACTTGTGCACTAATGGTTACATACGAGTGTTTTATTGATGTGATTCTGATGGTTTTAAATCTGATTGAGAGAGCAGTATGTTCACTGGACAAGTTATTTACAAAGCCGATATTTGTAAATGATAATTTAAATTCAGGTGGAAGATACAGTAGGTATTCATAGGGGAGGGAGGAATAAAAGAAAAAGAGTGCAAGATAGCATCTGACCTCTTTGACAGAAATGACAGAAATGCAAGTCTCCTGCTAGCTGTTTTTGCACAAACTCTATAAGCAAGGGAAGAATTGTGAGTGAAATCCATTCTGAAAGACATGCTTCTTCTATTGTATGGGGAGAACAAAGTGACTGCAATGTACACTGTTACAGAAGGAAATCTACAGAATAATTAAATGTAGCTATTGACAAAAAGCTCTTTGAAATGAAAAAAAAAATTAAAACAAGCAAACAAACCCCCAAACCCACTACATTTGAATGAAGAGAAGTCACAGAAAAATGCAGGAAAGAGGAGGTAATGTAGAAATTAGCCTAAAGATGCTTAATATGTAAATGAAAGGATTGAAAACATCTGATTCTTTTCTTGAAGTTAAAAGTTATCTTTCTTATTGAAGTGTAAAATTTTATTATATATCCTTTTGTCTCATTCTTAACAGCTGCTGTATGTTTTATTTCCATTTAAGGCTTTTATCTTTAGGTATGTCATAACTTTTGTAGTAGAATACAATGTAATCTTAATAGATTACAGAATATTTTGACTTTCTGATGTTTATTTTGAGTCTCAGTTAATGTTGGTCTCAGGTTAATGATGAACTTCAAGATCAGTCTCAGTTAAAATCTTCTGCTTTCAGGTTGCTTTAATAGATATTTCTGCAACGTCTCTGGTGCAGTGATGTCTGGCTCGTAGCGGTTTTTGACTTAGCTGCTTGATAGTATCACCAGTAGTTCCTGGCAGCCTGTTGGTTTTATTTTTAATGTATGTGCTTTAACATATACATATTGTTTTGTGGTAAGTATGTTTTACAAGTGAGTGTTGCTGATTGTGAGTCAGACTCGTTTTCTGCTGGCACAAAAGCTATTAAACCTGAGCAGAATCTCAAGTGCTGCATTCGGGGTTTTTGGAGGTGGCGTGGAGAACTGAGAAGTGTTTGAAGCTGAGTAAGTCATGATGCACTTCCATGTTTGCTGCAAAAAGACATTTGTTGCCTCTGCAGAACTGGGCTGTTTGTATTGCATGTTTTGCAGCACAAGTTTTGAAAACAATAATGTGCAAGTGCATGTATTCTGTTAGAACAGAGATGCTGGCATCAAAGGATGATGGTGGGAGGGAGAGAAGAAATCATTTTGATTTTCCTGTGCTTTGCTAGGTCTTTTTCTACCCATCGTATGAGGAAGAAAAATAATGACCTGGAGCATGGGAATCTAAAATAGAGATCACAGCTCCAGTTGTTAAAACTTCTCTGAATTGTTGTGGTACTGTAATCTATTTCTGTGGAGTGATTATTCTCATTCCCTAATATGCATCAAAATATTTTTTTTTTAGTATTTTCAGATTATTTTATTAGGCTATCGAAATATACTGTATGTTGTTTATACACTGTATTTTGCCAAAATCTCTTTCAGCATTTCCTAGGATTTTTAGCAACCGTACCAATGTACTCTATTATACAAAATATTCCTCCCCTTTTTGGGTCTATTTAAAAAGAATCCTACAGATATTGAATTTTAAGTTACAACTTTAGCTTGCAGTGAGTTAGGAAGTTCGTTCACATTATAAACCTCAGATCAAGATACTGTTTGGACTTGAAGATATCAAATAAAGTAACATCATCTGAATAAAGTAACATCATCTGAATAAACTGTCCGTTATTGTTGGAACTGCTCTGAAAAATGAGCAGAAACTTTGCTCGCTCAGTGTGTGTGTGTGTTTTTTTTTTTCTCATCCTTTCATGTGTGTGCTTTTTTTTTTTTTTTTTTTTTCTAAAATCTGTTCCAGAAACAGCAGTGAGAAACCAAATGTATATTCTTGCAAAGAGAATCCAGTGTCTGTAAGAAGTTATCAATAAATTGTTGCTGGAGGAATAGCTTAATCTTGCCTTTTTTTCATGTGCTACAGTCATGCTTGGCACTTGCAGCAATGACACTTTCATTTGGCCAAGAGATGCAAAAAAAGGCAGAAATAACATTGATTTAGATCTGGAAAGACTATGGTAGAAATGTTTGAGGTATCAGCTAGGTGTCTAAATACCTTTGATTAATCTCTCCCCTCTTGGTCAGACTTTCAACGTGTTGAGTAGGTTGACTTTCTTGAAAATATAGAGAAAAGGAGGAGGAAAAAAATGTGTTGGCCTGGAAGAAGGTGGAGGTGGCTGGGTCCGAAGCTGCCTGTGACAAATCAGGTGGTCTGTGAGCAAACTGGTGCCATACCAGAATTCATTTTCTCGCCCCGAGTCCTGCAACTGGTTATCCAAATAGTGTATGGTGAGGCTGATAGGCTGCAAAATGTGACAGTGACAGATATTTTCATGGCTCTGTTCAAATTTTCATTTTTTTATGCTCAGCTTCCTGAGGCATTAGCCTTATGTAACCGTGCTGCCAGATTTTCGTACCCTTTGGCTAGTGTCAGCAACATTTAAGAGGTCGGGTGCCCGCCCGCGCGGTCCTGCGGGGTGGGTGAAGCGGCGGCCGCGCGCGGGGACAGCCCTGGCGGAGGAGCCCCCGGTGCGGGGCCGGCAGGACCAGCGCGGCCCTGGGCTCCCTGCTGCTGCCTGGCCCGCTGGCACCGCAAGGAGCTCCGCTGGGCCCGCTGCGAGCCCTGGGGCGGTGTGGAAGGGGAGGTGCGTGCCTGGAATTCTGGGAGAGAGGGAACGCTCTGGGAAGGTGGGAAAAATAACTGCAGGGTTACTTTGTATTTTCTATTTTTATTTTTTTTCAAAAGTCGTGGGTTGCTGACCTAGTTGGGCACTTGCCCTTTTGCAGCTGATGTGTGTCAGTGTTTGGTAGAGTCGTGTAACCAGTTTATGTTA